GGAGACCTAAGACAAGACCGTGCTGGGACATGTGACGCTGACGAGGAAGTGCGGGGTGATCTAAGCAGTGGTGCCATAGAAGCGACAGGTGAGTGAGCGACTGACACGAGCAAGCCGCAGTGACCTGAGTAGGCGTGGCCACCTAGAGGGACCCCCCCACCAGGGGGAATGAGGTGACAAGCGTGAACTGGCCAGACACCGGGTCCCGGAGGAATGTGGTGAGGGGGGCACTAGTGGCGGCCTCGGTACAGACTACGTACCGCTCATGTCGGGATTTTAGTGGTGACGCCGAGGTCCTGAAGACACCGGAAACCAACTAGGTTCTTGGAGAGCGAGGGGATATACAAGCCTGTAAGGGAGCTTGAGGGAACCGCCGGATAGGGAAGGGTGGTTGATCTACGTGCAACTACTGAACCAGAGGTGGGGTCAGCAAGCACTACAGCGGCAGGGGCGGCAAGCGGCGTGACAGTAGTGTGGACGCGAAAGAAGCAGGCAGACGCACCAGAGTCCATCGTGAAGGAGAGCGCGTCGGTAGTGTCAGCCGGCGGGGGCACTAGCGAATAGCCTAGGCTAAACAAGGCAGAAGATCCTACGACTAACGTAGCATGGGAGCCTAGACTACGCAAAGTGGACACACCTACGCTAGGCAACACAAAGTTATAAGGTCCAGTCATAATTGAGTGATCAGCATACATGGCATACAAAGCATAGCGAATCTGTTCCATATCCATCTCAAAGACCATCAAGGCACACGGCAACGTACCAGGCTGTGCAAGTCAGAGAGGTCCGATGCAGGGCCGAACCGGAGACGAAAGAGGTCGTCGAGGCGGTGGTAGCAGCGGGCGGCGGTGTGACCGAGACGGTCGCATACAATGCCGTGACGAGGGCCGGTTTGAAGTTGGTACTAACCGGTCACCGCACTGGAGCCGCCAACCGGCGCGGAGCTGCGCGCGGCACCACCGCGACCGCCACCACCAAAAACGTCAGGCCACCATAGTAGCGAAGGTCCCCACGGCTGCTGCTGCGACTGCTACTGCTGCTGTTGCTGCTGGGGCTGCTGCTGCTGCTGCATCGGGGCATCAGCCCCGGTCCCCTCGCCAGCACCACCGGCACTCGCACCACGGTTCCCACCGCCGCCACCGTCACCACCCCTCCCTCCACCACGCCCCCCGTTGGGGCGGCGACCCTTACCCTGGCGAGGCTGCGCCAAGGCCACCGCGGTGGTCTCAGCAGCAGGGGATGCCTCAGCGACAGCGGCAAAAACGTCAGAGTAGGTACACTGGGAGGGAGCACAGCTTGGAAGATAGGGACCGTCGCAGTACCGCTAGCTTGAGCGATAGCGCGCTGGCAGGTCTCTATCGCGGACATGGTGGTGACGAACTTGGTAAGGGTGAGGTTAGCGGGGTGGAGATTGAGGACAATTTTGTCCCCACCAAATAAACAATGTTGGCTAACAGCCACATCTCATTTCTGAGCCGACAAGTGCATGCAGCACATGTCAACTTATACATACAGTATATGCATATGTAGCAGTTACGCTAGAAGGGTTCGTGCTCTTAGAGGGTACAACACCCAACCATATATTCCCTTGTATCCCTCATTTCTAATTATTCCGCTACTCTGAGATAATATTAGCTAGGTTAGGTCCGCCCGCCCGTGCTTCCGCCCTAGCCCGCCCTAGCCGCCTTAGCCTGCCCTAGTTGCCCTAGCTGCTCCCCCTGCTCTTTCCTGATCTTGCGTCCTTCCCCACTGTCGCTGACCTTGCCACTCACCTGCGCAAGCTTAAGACTTGCTACCGCGCTGCCAGCACTGAGGCCCAGCTCACTGTACTGCCTCCCTCCCTTGGCGCTACCCTCTACTTCATTGCTACGCGCCTTCCCGATAGCCTCCACCGTGGGGTGGAGTGCAGTAGAGTGCGATAGTGTACGGTGGGGCGCGATGAAGCCGCGGACAAGGAGACAGCCGGCCGAGGCGCCGGCTCATAGTGGAACCAAGGCCAGCGGCGTGGAGGGGCCGACAAGCTGGGGTGGCACGGCGGGCTGGGGCCAGCGACCGGGCGGGCGGCTCAGTTAGTAGAGGCCGGCTGCGGGCCGGCGGCGAGCAGGGGCCGGCAGGAACTCAGGTCGGCAGGCTGGGGCCGGGGACGAAATGGGGCTAGCGAGCAGGGGTCGGCAGGTGCTAGGGTCGGCGAGCAGGGGCCGGCTGGAGCTGGGGCCGGCGAGCGCGGGGCCGGCGAGCAGGGGTCGGCGGGAGCAGGGGCCGGCGAGCAGTGGCCCAACAGGAGCTAGGGCCGGCGAGCAAGGGCCGACGGGAGCTGGGGCCAGCGAACAAGGGGGCCAGTGCGGGTCGAGGCCGGCGAGCGAAGGGGCCTGGCAGGCATGGGGCCAGCGCGCGAGGGGTCAGCGAGCTCGAGGCTGGCGAGCGAGGGGCCGACGAGCGCGGGGCCGGCGAGCAAGGTGTCGGCGAGCGCTGTGCCGGCGAGCGAGGGGGCCGGCTAGCGCTGAGCGGGCGAGCGCAGAGCCGACGAGCAAGGGGGCCGGTGAGTGCGGGGCCAGTGAGCTAGGGGTCGGCGCACGAGGGGCAAGTGGCGGGCGCAACGCGGGCTAGGGAAACTAGGGCGGGCTAAGGCAGCTAGGGTGGGCTAGGGCGGAAGCACAGGCGGGCGGACCTAACCTAGCTAATACCATCTCAGAGTAGCGGAATAATTAGAAATGAGGGATACAAGGGAATATATGGTTGGGTGTTGTACCCTCTAAGAGCACGAACCCTTCTAGCCTAACTGTTACATATGCATATATATATATAAGTTGACACGTGCTGCATGCACTCCTCTGCTCAGAAATGAGATGTGGCTGTTAGCCAACATTGTTTACTGGGTGGGGACAATATTGTCCTACAATGAACGGGTTGATACCTGCATGTATACCCACCGCTGCCATCTCATCTTTCAAGGCAAGAGCAACGCAGCACACGCACCTGGTCGCCGCCATTGTTGGAGGCAATTGTGCGGATGTGCGCCATGAGGAAGCGGAACGTGCAGAGCGCGGGCTCGACGACCATGATTCCCGTATTGAATTGTTCCTCGTCGTTGCAGATGGCCGACAGCTTGGGGTAGAGGAAGAGTTGTGTGAGTGGGTGCGAGCGACGATGTCTGCATCGACGAATACAAGGTGCTCGTACTTCGTAAACTGACACAGCCGCAACTTGCTGCCAAGGCAAGGGTAGCAGAGCCTGAGTTCTGACATGGTATCAGAGCCAAGAGACGCAGGTTCAATTCCTAGTGCCACCGCTGAAGAGGTGCTTGTGTCTTCCGCCTATCCCAGCGAGGGGGGGTGTCGAGAGACCCGTTGGGGTTGCCCTTGAGATCCCCGTAGAAGGGCCACGGCTGCAGAGCTTGGGGGGCTATGGGCGCACTTACCCGCTGCTTAACAAGCCCTTTTAACTCAGTGGTTGGTGAGGTGACTGACTGAGTTCTGACAGTACGACATGTAGCAAGCCCCAGTAAGATATTTATAATTCCTTACATCCATTCCTCTTTTGAAAATAATCGAGTTCATTGTCGATTTAGGGTTCTCATTTTCATAAACCATCAATAGGTACAATATGTTGCTTTGGTAAACAAATAATACACGTACACATACAGTACCGTCTTAGAAACTTAGGACTCAAGGTTCTTAAACTTAGGAGGCTAGGTTGGCTAGGATACTAGGAAGAAGGCCGCCATGGAATAGCGTGAGGAAAAACGGATCTAGGAAGGGAGAGAATGTCGAGAAGAAAGGGGTTTGATTAGGAAGAGAGGGGAGTACAAGGAGGGGTTTGTACCCCCTACAGTAAGGTTCAGTAACAACCTACCAAGCCTATATTAAATTATAACTTATATAATTTTAACACACCCCCTAGGCTTGGTAGTGTCAAGCCCACGCACACCCCCACACCCACACCCACACCCACACCCCCTAGCCCAGCACCCCCATTCCCAGCAGGAGCCGCAACGACTCCGGAAGAGGGTAGGTCTCACGGCCCCTTGAGACGGCAATGGCGGCAGCAGCGACAGTGACGACGGCGGCGGCGGCGGCGGTTTGCGGCGGCTCCAGGCCTGCGGCAACAGCGGCGGCGCCGGCGGCTCGAACGACAAAGGCTGGTGCGGCGGCCCCCGCCCTCTCGGCGGCATGTCCTGTCTCCTCGGCGGTGGAGAGGTCCCTCACATGGCAATCATCGGCTGCAGCAAGAAAGGGGGGGATGCAGGGGAAGCAGGTGCAGGTGGGGGGGGAGGGGAGGGGGCGGGGCGAGGCGAGTCTTCAGCGACGCGCCATAAGTGGCGCGGCGCTTACTGGCAGGAGGGCGGGCAGGTGGCGGTTACGACGGCGTGCTGCCCGCTGCCGCCCATCCACGCTGCCGCGGCAGCATGACGACGCCGCCAGGGCGCGGCGTCGACGCTGTGGCGGCACGCCGACGCTGCAACGGCAGCAAGGTGACGCTGCCACGGCAAAGCGTCGACGCAACCGGCTGCGGCCCGACGGCGCCGTTGACGCTGCAGCAGGACGTCGACGTCGCGACGGCAGAGGCAGCGTCGATGCCGCAGCGGGACGTCGACGCTGCGACTGCAGAACGACGGCCCGACGCCACGGCAGCGCGTCGAGCCGGTCGCGGCACGACGCGGCCAGTGGCAGCGCGACGTCGCCGCTGCAGCAAAACGCGGCCGCCATGGCCGCTCGAGCTAATGAGAGTGAGGAGTAAATTGCGGAAGCGTGAGGAGGCGATCCAACAGGGAGGATCTCCTGCTCTGATACCATCTTAGAAACTTAGGACTCAAGGTTCTTAAACTTAGGAGGCTAGGTTGGCTAGGATACTAGGAAGAAGGCCGCCATGGAATAGCGTGAGGAAAAACGGATCTAGGAAGGGAGAGAATGTCGAGAAGAAAGGGGTTTGATTAGGAAGAGAGGGGAGTACAAGGAGGGGTTTGTACCCCCTACAGTAAGGTTCAGTAACAACCTACCAAGCCTATATTAAATTATAACTTATATAATTTTAACATACCGGTATCAAAACTATTATATGATGAGAATTTGAAGATAGTGTAATCCACTAGGGCAGACATTTTAGAGCAGCCAGTTGTCCAGCCTCATCCCCCCACCACCAAATCTTTCCTTGCATCGGTTATGGTGAAATTCCACCATTTTGGAGCAGCCCCTTCTTTCCTTAACTTCTCCATGCCATCCCATATCCCCGTCTTCTTCTCCTCACTCAACCAGCACCAGGGTTTCAACCCCACCGCCATCCCATCATGCACCTCCCACCACCTCTTATGAGCAGCCTCATTAGCGAACATGTGCATGTGTGTCGACAACAAGTTACAGTCAAAGTCCCGAAAGCAGTGCCAGGGCTTTCGACCGAGGTAATGAATGGCGTGAAGCTGGGGAGGGTCAGCTGAGAAAAGCACATTCTTGGTGGCCACTTCCCAGTCATAGTCAGAGTCTCCCTGAGCTGCCTTTATGTGTTTGAGGAAGTTTATTGACTCGGGCAGGCGGTGCCACCAGGTGAAGACGTTGTTCAGGTAGCCCTGGGAGGGAGAGAGGTAGCAATCGTCCCAGCGAGGAGTGGGAACTGGGGATATGAGGCGAGGAAGCTAGGGAAGTGGAATTGGTCGGAATGTGAGGGAGCCATCATGCAAAAGGAATGCACAGAGCCGCCTCAGAACTTCTGCCCAATCTTAACCATCCCGACGCATATACCACCCAACAGTGCAGCAGACGTCCACGCAGCACCACTCCCCTTCCCTCCATGCCACAGTATCAACGCACCAGAGCCACACGCACCTGGTCTCCGCCATTGTTGGACACGATGCTGTGGATGTTAGCCATGAGCAAGTCAAACGTGCAGAGGGCCGGCTCAATGAGCATAACGCCCGAGTTGAATCGGAACAAGTCATTGCCACGGGCCGACAGCTCGGGGTAGAGGAAGAGGTGTGTGAGCGGGCGCAGGGCGACGATGTCTGCATCGACAAACACAACGCGCTCGTACTCCGTCAACTGCCACAGCCGCAGCTTGCTGCCAAGGCAAGGGGGGGGAAAGGCCGGGATGGAAGGGAGAGGAGAGGAGTGCAGGAATGCGAGAGGAGGGGATGTGGGAGGAGAGGTGCGAGGCTGAGGAGTGGTGGCACCGGGGACACATCAACACCTTGGGCTGATGTGAGACTGCACCATGAGACAGTGCGCCATGAGACAGTGCACCATGAGACAGTGCGCCTGAGACAGTGCACCATGAGACAGTGCGCCATGAGACAGTGCGCCATGAGACAGTGCGCCATGAGACAGTGCGCCATGAGACAGTGCGCCATGAGACAATGCGCCATGAGGCTGTGTCGTGCACAGTCTCAGCCAACGCAGAAACACTCCTCCGCTTCGACTGCTCATGGTTTGTGCACACAGGTTGGACTCGGACCAGCACACATCAACCCCTCCCTGTTGCATCCCTCCCTCTCATCTCCCCTTCTTTCAATTTCTCTCCCTCTCCTCCCCGCGTTTCACTCCCTCATCTCCTCTTCTCACCTGTAGTTCCACTCGTTGTAGCTCCCCTCCTTGGCCCGCGGGTTCCTGATGCGCTCGATCTGCACAACCCGCCATCCCGCCGCCTCCAGTCCTGCGCGGCTCTCCGCCCCCACCTCCGCCGAGACCAGCGCCACCAGCTCCGCCTCTGCAGGCCCATTACTTCCCCCCATGTTCCCCCCGGCTCCCCCAGTACGTGCTTTTCCTCCATCCCTACCATTGGCGGAGGAATTTCCGCCTCCAACGGAGCTGCTATCGGGGGTGGCGGGGGGGAAAAACGTGGGCGGCAGCGCGAGGCCGGCGGCGCGGAGGGAGTGCGCGAGCACGATTGCACCGCAGACGTAGTCGCCCTTGCTGTGCAGCACCGTGGCGAAGGCGAAGCGCGGAGGGCCCAAGGAGGGGGGACGCGCGAGGGCTGGCAAGAGGGGGTGAGGAAGAAACGGAGATAGGTGGAGGGGCGCTGCATTATGAGAAGGGGGCTCCGGGGCTCCAAGGGGAGGACCTGAGGAAGAGCTTTGAAGTGAGCTGTGCACTGGAGAGAAAGGTTGTGTGGAAGGGATTCAAGTTGGACCGACTGGACGGCTGCGACAGAGAACGAACCCAAGGGGACTGAGACGGAGGAAGAGAAGCGAAGGGACTGAAGTGGAATGATGGGGAATGATGGGGAATGATGGGGAATGGTGGAGAATGACGGGGAATGATGGGGAAATGATGGGGAATGATGGGGAATGACGTGGAATGATGGGGAATGATGGGGAATGACGGGGAAAGATGGGGAATGATGGGAAATGATGAGAGAAGCAGAGCGGTCGCGAGGCTGCAGGAGAGCTGGGAGGGCCGAGGATCCCACGGAGCGGGCAGCGGTAGGCGCGCACCTGCGGCATCCACGGTGTGTTGCGCCATGGCGCAGGACCCCGCGGGCTGGATGCGCGCGCGCATGTCGCTCGCAGTCACGTTGTACACCCACACGTCGCCTTCCGCCCCGTGCGCCACGGGTTCCGCGCGCGCGAGGAAGCGGCAGTGGAAGAGGTTGGGCGGCGGGCGGCAGGGGGAGACGATGACGAGCGGCAGCCAGGGGCGGCGGGACTGCCAATGGGGGGAGCAGCAGGGGGAGCAGCAGGGGGAGCAGCCGGCGGGAGGGAGGGGAGGGAGGGTGGTGTTCCAATCGCTGACTTCAGCTACTTCGAAGTTTCAGCAACCAACACCAATTCGTAAATGCTAAAGCATGGCGAAGTAAATCTCGATCCCTGATTCCTCCGCACCTGACTGGCGAAGCGTGCGAGCGACAGCATCAGCTGCAGCCATCGCACGTCCCTCGCGAGCGAGTCGTTCGCCGGGCGACACGACACCACTGCGACCACCGCGTCTGCCAGGTCATGATTCCCCTCGTTCTCCTCCCACGGCGCGCGAGGCGCAGCAGGGCAAGTGAAGTTGGATCGCTCGTAGTTAATCTCCGGGTAGAGGTCGTCCCACGTCAAGTTGCTTGCTTCCGTCGGAGCGAGAAGCGACACGACCCGGAATCGCGCTACTCGGGACTCGCGCCCTTGGTGTTGCTGCTGCTGCTGCTGCCATTGCCAGTGGTTCAAGAGTACCGCGCGATCCACGTTAAACGCAGCTACGCGATCAAGCCGCGAAAACCCTGAAACACCCTCGTGCTGCGACTGCCGCTCTTCGTCCTGCGGCTGCTCCCCCTCCTCGTGCGGCCGCCATTGCTCCCCTCTGCGCTGTGCCGCCACCTCCTCCGCCCACGAAGCCAGCGCGTCGAGCCCGCGCGAGAAGGCGACGGCCTCCGCGGGGTCAACGGGCGCTGACAGGGGCGCTGACAGGGGCGCTGAAGCCGCGAGGTCTGTGGGATCGCGGCCAGTGTGCAGGCGCGCAAGCAGCGCCAGCGGCAAGAGAAGGAGCAAGATACGCCCTGTGTAGTCAAGGAGTACGCTTCTAGTAAGGAAGGTTTGCTTTGGCAGGTGCCAGGTCCAAGGGAATGGAAGGGAAGTAGGATGATGCGGTGTCGCGGTGGGAACACATGTCGTTGGGCTCGAAGGTAAGTCTTGTGCAGGGGGCTTTGCTGGCGCGCGTGGGGAGGAGCACGCAGTGAGGGATTGTGAAGCTGAGATGGTGAGATGCGAGAAGGAGAGGGAGGGGAGGGGAAAGGAAATTGATGGGAACGAGAAAGCTGGCAGCGTGGAGGGTGTTGTATTGGAGGGTTGATCCGGCGGACTAAGGAGAGTAATTGCTTCTTCCTCGTCTGGTTGCTGCGGTGCCATCGCGGTCTAGGAAACAGGTCAGCCAGTGAACGGAAATGGAACAGGTCAAAAGCTGATGGTGCAGGACGGCACTCGCGCTGAGGGGAGAGGAGGAGCTGCCTGGCGTGCGAGCAGCAAAGCAGCAGAGTTGATTAGTTGTGCAAGCAGCGGAGTTGGTGACGAGGTGCATTTTACTGTGCCATGAGCTGTGACTGCAAGAGCATGGAAGACAGGAAATTGGAATGGGTGGGGCGAGATGGATGGATGCAAAATGTCAAGTTGAAATTGCGACTCGAAATGGGTGTGCTGTGCTGTTTGTGATTTGGGGCGCCGCGATTTTAGGGGCGACGATGCTTGACGCTATTGGGCTTGGAGTGCGCCCCGCCATGCTGTTTCGCCACGACGTGCGCCAGCCCGCGAGGGACTGTACATTGCACTAGTATCGCAGAAAGACGGGGATGGGACGTGGGTCCCGCTATAGTGCGCGCACGCTTTGGGAAGAAAACCACAACGTACAATTGATCTACAAAGCAACCGTAAAGCCCACGCTAGAAATGTAATAGAAAATATTCCCTATCATTAAGGCATAATCATTCATGCGAACAAAGATCAAAGCATTATTGACTAGGTGGCCTTTTGAAATGTAAGAGATGTCGCAATGACTGAGGGTACTTTGTAACAGGCCATGAAGAGAGAATGCGAGTAACGCTGGTAGAGCATTTGGTCCCAGTCAATAGGTGATGTTGCTTCCCTAGAATGTACCTGTGCACACAAAAGAAAGAGGGAACAGTTTGCACCTCGTCAAGTTTTGCGCAGACTTCAATGCAATAATTAAGCTTCTTCTCCACTAAGTAGCCCTCCAGTACAATTTGGGCCAGTGCAGAAATCATTAAGTCAGCAGAAGAATGAACGGGCGGGGCTAAAGCTCAAAAGGCACGAGCACATATGCAAATGGTACGACAAGGACCGAGGGAGAAAAAAAACTTTATGGAATTTGCACCTGCGAGTCAGAAGCCTGCTCCTGGTGGCTTTTTCGCTTCCAGACCACCAACCTCTGGGGCAAAAATCGCCTACGTTTAGCCAGTGTCTGCACCTCATTGCATGTCTCCGCTTCTTGCTGCACTGCTAGCCCCCCAACCCCCTGCATCTCCTGCCCTGCACACTCCTGCCGTTCCTCCTGCTGACAGGTACCAACACGTCCTTCGTGCATTTGTGGGAATCCGTCGTCGACTTGTACCTGGGGCTCTCGCCCTGGCCTGGCCACATGCGCTTGTCCACTACTGTGGTTCACCCTGCTCGGCCCCTCTGGACTCTCGTGCAGCAGGCAGTGCAGGTGCGGTGGCAGGTGCAGGTGGAAGGAGTGTGCCGCTCTCGGCAGACCATCGCCCCTGTGAGGTGTGGAAAGAAGAGCACGTGATTTGGGAGGGAGTGGATCACTCAGACTCAGAACACAAGTATCAACACTGCGGAACTATGAACTTGGCAGCGCGGGCGAGCAACAAGAGCATGCAGAGACACAGGACAAAGTGGAGAAGAAGAGTCAGGGGAGGGGAGGGGGCGAAGGCAGAGAGAGTGAGAGGAGGAGGGGGCTGTGGAAAAAGAGCGGGCAGCACATACTCGAGCAGGAAGTGGTGCTTGAGCTGCAGGGCGCGTGCCTTGAGGGGCGGCTGCAGCAGCAGACGCAGGGAGGAGAGAAGGCGGAGGGGGGAGATGCGGTGGATGGGCAGAGCAGGGGGGGCCACGCCCAGGCTGTGCAGCACAGCAGCCCTGAGGGCAAGGACGCATGGGCAACGGCAGTGGGAGGATGTGCAGTGAGGTCAGGATGAGTGGCAGATGGGGAGGGAGATAGCGATGGATGGATGGAAGGATGGATGGACGGGCACATACATAACATGCAACACGTACGCTTTTCCAGGCATGAACAGGATGAACAGTGTCACATGGCAGCGCAGGGAAGTGCAAAGAAGTGCAGGGAAAGTGCAGGGAAGGTGCATGGCAGTGTGAGTGGTACCAGAAGTGCTGGTCCCCGAAGAATGGCATGGGCAGGACGGGGCAGCCAGCCCTGATGGACGCAGCCACTGTGCCCGCCCCCCCATGGTGCACCTGACGACAGGCCACGAGTGGGAACGCAACACGGCAGAGAGAAACAGGAACAGGAGAGAAAGTGAGAGGTCCTGCGAGCAGGAAAAGGGACTGGGAAGGCAAGGGGTTAGTAAGGGACTGGACAGTTTAACAGCCTCATGAACTATAGCAACAAACTGACTGCATTCGTGTCTTGCACTAGAGCAGCAATACAGTGCCGCAGCTGAGCTGTGCGTTGACTCACGGTGGCAGAGCATTGTGGGAAGAGCCAGTCATGAGCCACCGAACCCACAAACAGCACACTCCCTTGCTGCACCACCTCACACTCACCCTCCCCTCCTCCCCCCTCACCCTCCTCATCTCCATTCCCCACCTCCACTCGTCCCGGATTGCCTTCTCCCTCCACGCCCTCTCCCTTTCCTTTGCCTTCCACGCTCCTCTCCATCTGCGTGCCTCTTCCGCCTTTCCCCACGCTATTCCCCATTCCCCCCACGCCTCTCTCCCCCCTCTCTGCACCTCCTTTCCTCCCAGTGTGGCTGTGCTTGCGAGCCACAAGGCAGAGGGAGGAGGAGCAGCAGCAGTGCTCGCGGATGGCAGCACTGCCAATGACGGCTCGCACGCCCAGCAGAGACACGGCCTTGAGCACACAGCGTGCCACGTAGCACGGCCGGCTCAGCTGCATGCTGCCATACGCCAGGAAGAGAGGCGGAGGGCCGGCGGAGAGGAAGGAGACAAGGACCGGTGACGGGTGGAAGGAAGGTGGTGACAGTGGGACTGGGTTGCCTGGGGGCCTCGGTTCGTGCTCCTCTTGTTCTTCTACTGCTGCCAATTCTGCTGCTGCTGCTGTCGGCCTTGCTGCCTCCTCCTCTGCTGGTGCTGACGACTCAGGCGATGCTGCTGTGTCAAGCGTTGGCCGTTGAGACGGGGACGAGGGTGGCGATGCAGGGGGAGCAGCAGCGGATGCCGTGGTCTTCGGAGAGGCATGCAGTGGTGGGTGAATGAACCCCACCACGTCAACCAGCTCGTTCCAATCACTGCACGGCAGGCACAGCCACACGGGAACATAGACAGCAAGAGATTGGCAACAATACAACCATAACACGGCATGGAAGTGGTTGCCACAGGAACAGGAGCCGAAGCAGTCAGGGAAGAAGGTGAGCAAGGAAGCAGGGAGGGAAGGGTATGTATGGCACCTTGGCTTGGGCGCGAGGAGCGGGCTCCAGGAGAAGGAGAAGGGGATGGGCAGGCGCAGCAGATGGGAGAAGGGGCGGTCCGTGAGGAACAGCGGGTCCAGCTGCAACGTGCGCGTGCGGAACTGAGGGGGGGGGTGGGGCAGACAGGCGAGGATGGGGAAGTAGGCAGCGAGGGGCAGCGAAAGGAGGGGGATGATGGAGAGAACGAGTAGGAGTGGTTGAGTGGAGGGGAGAATCAAAATGATGTGTACGGCAAGATGCAGAACTCTCCTCATGTGTGGCATACTGTAGTACTCACACATGACCACAGTAGGCTTGTGTGCCAGCAACTTGAGATTCAAGCCACACACCACACACGGGTCTCCTCAACCCCCACCCCTCACCCCACACCCCTCGCCCCTCATCCGTCACCCATCCCCCATCCCCCCTGGCTTGTCACACGTGGTCGTTGACCCCTGGCCCGTCCCCCCTGGCCTGTGACCCGTGGGGTCTGACCTGATTGGTGATGTCCATGACGCCCGCCCCCACAAAGGCCTCCACCAGCGGGTAGGACATGCGGTGCACCCGCGCACGCACCCACGCCGGCGACAGGAACGCAAGGCCACGCAGCGCAGAGGGGGAGAACGGATGCGCGTATGCTGCTGTGGGCCTGGGGGGGCGGAGGGGGAGGGGGGGGGGTGGGTTTGGGGGGTGAGGCGGTTGAGGAGAGGGAAAGGGGAGGGGAGCGCAGGGGGAGTGAGGAGAAAAGGAATGTAACGACCCATCAACTAGGAGCACTGGAAAGGGGAGCGTGCAATGCAAGACTGGGAGGGATGGAATGCAAGGCGTGGGGGGTGGGACGAAGGAGAGGGGGGGGTTTGGATGCAAGTGTGGGCGGGTGGGGCGCAAGACTGGAAGTGTGGGGCGCAAGACATACCGCCATGGCATGGTGAAGAGGATGTGCAGATGCGCCCCCAGCTTCTGCGCACAGTGGATGTGGCCTGGCGGGGTGGTGGGAAGGGAAGGGAATACATGGGCGCGCACGGAGACACAGGTGTGCCGCATGTGGAGGGAGGTACAAGCTGTGACGGAAAGAAGCAGAGCAATGGGTGGGGAGGAGGAGCAGAAGAATGGACGCACTTGCAGCAGGGGGAGTGAGGACAAGAGAAGAACGGGTGCACCGGAGGCAAGTCAGTGGAACGGGTGTATGGGGCGGTACCAGCGGCAGGGGGGTTGGCAATGATGGCATGCGGCCTGAACCTCCTACTGCTCCTCACGCCCCCTCCCTCTCCCACACCTGCCCTCTCACTCCCACACTCCCTCCCTCCCATCTGGAGCCCCTCCGCCCCTGTTGCTCCCGCCCTCCCACCTTCCCCCCCCCTCCCCCTCCCATCCCCACCCCAATCCCCATTAAGGCGCCCCTCGGTGTCCGCCTCCCCCGGCGCACACTGTGCGCGCTGTGCCATGGTTTGGTGGGGGAAGGCAGCGGTGCAGGCAGGCCAGGTGGAGTGCAGGATGGCGCGGTACTGCTGGCGCAGCAGGCGCAGCTCAGAGACGCTCCGAGGGAACACACCGCCGTTCCGCACCATCACTGGCGCCCGGGCCATGCAGCGGGATGGGTGTGAAGAGCGTGGCAATATGGAGACCGCGGATAAGAGACGATTTTTGAGGCGCCTCAAAAGGATGGGTGTGAAGAGCGTGACAATATGGAGAGAAACCGTGCACAGGAGCATGGGAAGCGGGAGGCACGGCGCCAGGAAGTCACGCGTTGAGGAGATGAGAGACAAGCGGGGAGAACGTAGTGAGGAGCCGTGCGATCGATGGGCGCTTAATTGCCCTTCAGCTTACCGGTGGGCTACGGAACGCATGACATACAAGCGACCCAAAGCTTGTGAACTCTACTGCACGGCAACGTTGCGAGTGTGTGTCAGTATGATTCCCAACCCAAACATGCACAATGCTCTGCCGAGCAAAGGTGATGCATGCTTTCAATGTCCGGTCACGACCAGCAGTCCAAAACCTGTGAGCACAACGCAGTGATACAGCACTCACATGTGCTGAGAGCAGCGGGGTCGCCTGCAAGAGGGTAGAAGTCCATCGCTCCTCCTCCACTGCATTCCGAATTACGCCCCCTTTCTCTTCCCTCCTCTGCTTCCTCGTCTCCGTCCTCCCTCCATTCACCCCTCCCTCCTTCCCCTTCATGCTGCCTGGCTCCCTCTCTCTCCCCGCCTTGCCCGCTGTGCATCATTCGCTCCATGCACTGCAGCACGAGGGGACCATACTCCGCATGGCTGGCTAGCCTGCTTGCCATGCCATGCACACGTACGTATCACGCCATGCAACGCCGATCCATACCATGCCATTCCATTTTCACGCCATGCCATGCACACACAGGGCGCGCCACCCCGCCCCATCCATGCAAGGGATCATAAGTGCGCCAAGGTGACTAGGGAGAAGAGGAGGATGCATGAAGAACGATGCAGCGGAAGGCTGAAATGGCATGAGGCTGACATGGCATGAGGCTGACATGGCACGAGGCTGACATGGCACGAGGCTGACATGGCACGAGGCTGACATGGCACGAGGCTGACGCGCAGAGGGCTGCTGAGCACACAACGAGCGTTGCTGGTAGGAAGGTCCTATGCCAACGTCCCTCTCCATACTCCACTTCCTCGCTCCCCCACTCCTCCCCACCCCCCCTGGAAGCCACCACGAGGTCCCAATCGCACCACGGCGCCACTCTCTCTCTTCCGCGTTTCAAGAAATCCACCAGCCCTAATCCCTCTGAGTTTATCCCAGTCCTCCGGGATCGGGTTGTCACCATGTCCCCGTGTTATGCGCATCCCCGCCGCCTCACCTGACTCGGTGGCCGTATCGCACGGCGAGATGCACGGCGAGCGCGAGGAACGGCAGCACGTCGCCCAGCGTGCCGGCCGCCATCAGCACCACGTCCATCTTGCTTGCCGCACCGCACCGCCGCCGCCGCTCACCCTGCACGCTGCACGCTGCTGCACCCTAACTCGTCAACTACTACCGGATTTCGTATATCTCACGACCGCGGCCAGCGGTCTACGTGCGCCTCCTTCTCACTCCGAGCGATCCGAGTCGTCGATCCGAGCTGATGTCGCGGCTCGATCCGGCCGAAGTGACTCGCCGCTTCGTATTCCGTCCGAGCCCGTTCTGAAGTGCCAGTGCCTTCGTGCGCGACAGCCGCCACAGTAGCAACCGCCAAACTTCAAGCCTCCTGCCCCTTGCGCTCTGTTTCGGCGTTGCTCCATCCGCCTCGCACGACACGGCATCCCCGCCGGTCCTGCAGCACGCAGGAAGGTGCGACAACGGCGAAGCACAACGGCGCCAACGCCACGCTGGCGAGTCCTTGGCGTAGTATGAAATTTGCGGCGAAGGTGCTTTAGGATGTGCCAGCTGGACACCACGAGGGACACTAGTGTCCTCGTAAACTGGCCGAAGCGCCATGGCCAGGCGAGAAAGCGGGTCAACAGTTGCAGCTGTTCGTGTGGGGCCAAAGTGCAACTGCCACATTTTGGGATGAGCCAGCTGAGTGAATCAGAACCAACTACTCGTATTTTTTATATGCAAAAACAGATTCCAAGCTTAAAAAAACAGTATAGCCGAGGAAGCCTTCCGAGCTTTCAGCTTAGGGCTTATTCCTACGGACTGGTGTTCAGTACCAGGATAGGAAAAAACGTTTTTGCACTGTGTTGCAATTGCAGATTTACAGGAAGGTGTTCACTTCCAGGATAGCACGAATCGCAAACGGATGCCGCACACAGCTGAATGCGAAAGAAACGACCAGTCGCGCGTTGCCAGGTGTCACGCTTGCTCGTTTTATCGAAAGGGAATGGCTCGTGGCATGCAGGCGACGCGCTATGTGCTGTTTGCAAATGTGACAGTGACTTTCCATCCAATCGGATGTAACGTGCGCAACCGACTTGGTCCCGGTCCTGGTACCAGACGCGGTGTAATATTACGCTCACGGTGTCCAGAAACCCATAGCCCGTTGCTGGTACTGAACACCAATCCTTAGGAATACGCCCTTACTGTCAGACATCTTGACATAGATTTTTACTAAACGTGGAGGTTTCAGATAGTAGTCTTAGAGTAGCGTAATGAACTAGAAAGTAGGGTACATGGTGGTTCTAACCTAATATATTGTACTCGCTAAGGCATGCCGCTAGCTAGTCTACAACAACAGATACAAATATGTGTGACACACCCCCTAGACTGAACAAGGGGCAGTGCCTGGCAAGAGACAAGCAACTCAGGGCGGCACTACTAGTCCAACCTCTAAGAAAAGGGTCCGAAGATCAGTCAACAAGAGTACAAACTCGACAAGAGCAAGCCAGGGCGACACTACTAGTCCGGCCACTAGAACAACAGCCACAAGACCACTTAAGAAGTAATATATATAAGAGGAGTACACAATCAAGGTCCTAGCAAATGAGGAGCTACAGGAACTAGACCAAGCTGCAAACAGTGCCGCTGATGATCTTTAGGCGCAAGCGCCTTAGTAAAGATATCAGCTTTGTTGCTACCGGAGGCCAAGTGTACTACGCGGGCCTGGCGACGCTGCTGTAGCTCGCGCAGGCGAAAGTACCGCAGCTGGGTGTGCTTTGCTCTGCCCTCGAGTCGAGGCTCCTGACAGAGGAGGATCATGGCCCTGTTGTCAGCGTACAGGACCGGGGCAGAGCCGGGCCGCTCACCTAAGTCGGTGAGCAAGAAGGTCAACCAGTAAGTCCTCTGCCGCCATGGCACCGACGTAGATCTCAGCCTTACAGCTAGACTAGGCAACAGACGAGGAGCGAGTGGACTGTCACGAGAGCTAGGTAGCTAGGAAGCCATAAAATGGCGTGAGGGTTTAGGTAGGAGAAAGTTCCGAGAGAAAAGAGTGTCGAGAATAGAAGAGAGAGGGATACAAGGAGGGGGTTGTACCCTCTAAAGTAGGTTTCAGTAACACCTACCAAGCCTACCAATTATATATCAAAGATATAATTTAACACACCCTCTAGGCTTGGTAGTATAAGAACCCACACACACCCACACCCCCTAACCTAGTACCCCCAATTCCCAGCAGCAGCCACGAATACTCCGGCATGGCCAACCCCACGGCCTGGGAGATGGCGACAGCGGCAGCGGCGGCAGTGATGACAGCGGCGGCGGCGTGCGGCGGCAACAGGCCAGCAGCGGCGGCGGCGGCGGCTTCGACGACAGCGGCGAAGGCAGCGGCGCCCACCCTCTCGGCGGCGTGGCCAAGCTCCGCGACGATGGGGAAGATCCTCACGAGTCAGGCGTCGGCTGTGGCGAGGAGGAGGGGATGCAGGGGAAAAGGGGGGGAGGGAGGGGGGGGGGGGGGTGGGGGGACGGGGCATGGTCCAACATCACGCCCGTGGATGGCGCGTGGGCGGCGCCTAAAACGGGGCGCTGCCCGCTGCCGACCATGCCGTACGCGCGCTGGTAGCACGTCGCCACGGCAGCACGACGGCGCCGTCACGCCGCTACGACTCGACGTCGACGACACCGTCACGCCGCCATGGCTCGACGTTGACAACGTTGCCACGGCGTGACGTCGACGCCACGACAGCGCGACGCCACGGCAGTACGTCGAAACGGCCGCGACAGCACGACGCGGCCGGCGGTAGGACGACACCGTCATAGCAGTACGACACGACCGCCATGGCAGCGCGCGAGGGAGAGGAGGAGTGCACGGCGGAAGCGTGGGGAGCAGGCCCGAGAAGGGAAACCTTCTCTGTTACCATGTCACGAGAGCCAGGTAGCTAGGAAGCCATGAAATGGCTTGAGGGTTTAGGTAGGAGAAAGTTACGAGAGAAAATACTGTCGAGAATAGAAGAGAGAGGGATACAAGGAGGGGGTTGTACCCTCTACAGTAGGTTTTAGTAACACCTACCAAGCCTACCAATTATATATCAAAGATATAATTTAACATGGACCTCCACGAGATGGCACCTGAACCAAGGCAAAAGCAGTAGCCTTGGGAGGACCTAACTGTCTCAGCGTCGTCTGACCATTGGCCTTTGTCCTCCCAGCATGAGTCCCGTGCCCGATGTACTTGCTAGATAACGCAAAACCCTCTTAGCGGCCGACCATTGCTGTGACCGGTGCTGTGCCTGACGCCACAAAGCGAGCCAGGATGCTGAGATGGTATGCGAGATCTGGACGAGTGCAAGTCATCAAGTACATGAGGCAACCTACCAGCTCTGCGTAAGGACCACTAGGCTCTACAGACTCCTTAGGAAATGGAGCTGAGAGCCTGTGGTGTACTAGCAGAGGTGTGGGCTGTGCAGAGGAGAACTGAAGACCGAACCTCCGAAGGACCTGGCGTACCAAGTGTGACTGTGTGAAAGTGATGGTGCGCGTTGCTCTGTCCCTGGAGATCTGCAGACCAAGGTAGCGGTGCAGCTCTCCTAGGTCAGTGCAGGTGTGTCTCCTCAGCAGCTCAACCTTCACGGAGGCTAGTGCGTCTCTGCCTGCAGTAGCGAAGACCAAGTCGTCTACGTAGACAATGATGTAGAACAGGGTCTGGCCAGCACGAGCGAAGAGCGAGGGGTCTGCAGATGACGGGAAGAACTGCAGGTCAGCTAGCGTAGCACGCACCATGTTGCGCCACTCACGAGGCGCCTGTCACTGGCCATAGACCGGGTGCCGGAGGAGCCACTGTGTCCCAGGAGGGAAGGTACCAATCAAGCCCTCTGGACGGCGAAGGTAGACCTGCTCGTGTAGGCTGCCCTGAAGAAACGCTGTGGAGAAGTCGAGGGAGCGTACAGTGGCGGAAACAATTGTCCACATGTTTAGCATATTTTTACATTTTGACGACCTGTACGCTATAAACATTAAGCCTTAATTCATGGTGGCCATACACGTAGAGAGGAGCAGTTAGAGCACTCACGCAAATCTCGTAAAACTAGAGTAGTATATATCGTGGTCCTTCAAGATGACAACATTTAATAACAGCACATCCGGACAATTTGTACCGAGGACAGGCAGCAAACTAGTTACTAGCAAAACTAGTACCTAGTCAACCGACACTTGCCTTAATCACCACCTACACCCTCCTAGGCATGTTATCTACGAGGTTAGTGCAAACCTTTATAGGGATCTTCTCGCACTCTTCCTGGACCCACGCTTTTGCATAAGGGGGTGAGCACTAGGAAAATCGCGAAGTATTTGAACGTATGCAAGAGTACTGTGCACGATTTCATGTTGAATGTTATCTCTAAGACTAGCCATGCTGAGGTGTGGCCAAAGATGACATTAGTCGATTGGTCTCGTCTTATCATGGATCGTCTTCATCGCACCGTTGTAGGTAAAAATTACGACCACAGTAGCGAAAAATTGCGTATCTGCCACGAAACTTAGGGTAACATAGCACGGTTGACATTGCATCCTTGCACTATTAGAATCATGCTAGGATCCATATGTCTCTGAGCGGTGCAGCAGTTGAAGTAGTCGTGACTGGTGGGGAAAATATCTAGGTTGAGATCAAGTGAGGAAAAGGGTCACTCCAGCGTAACATACTCGTGTTCTCTAAGCCATTCTAAGCCATGTGTCCCGCTTAGGCTTGGAATGGCTTGGAGAGCATGAGTTTATAGCACTGGAGTGACCCTCTTCCTCACCAGACCTGAACCCGAATATTTTTCCCCACCAGTCACGACTACTTCGACTGCTGCACCGCTCAGGTACCTACGGATCCTAGCGTGATTCTAATAGTGCAAGGATGCACTGTCAACCGTGCTATGTTACCCTAAGTTTCGTGGCAGATACGCAAATTTTCGCCACTCTACTCATAATTTTTACCTACAGCGGTGCGATGAAGACGATCCATGATAAGATGAGACCAATCGACTAATGGCATCTTTGGCCACACCTTAGCATGGCTAGTCTTAGAGATAACATTCAACATGAAATCGTGCACAGTACTCTTGCATACGTTCAAATACAGTACTTCGCAATTTTCCTAGTGCTCACCCCCCTCCTCGCAAGGCGAAGTTCCTCGACATGGATCGCGAGTTGTACAAGCGCTTCACCATGATCCACGCCGGTGCACCCCATCTTCTGTGGCCGTTCGCAGTTCGCTACGTTGCCCACCACCTTAATTTGTGGCCGCATCCTCAGCGGCCGCAGGATTCGCCGACCCTCATCTCGACTGGGTCTCCTGATGACGAGTCTGGATTCCATGTTGGGGTCTGCCTTGCTCACGTTCGCACCTCTGGCACGGACAAGCTCACTGCCCGCACCGTCCCCTGTGTCTTCCTAGGTTTCCCCCTCAACTCGTCCGACTGGCACTTCTACCACCCATCGTCTCACCGTTTCTTTCACTCTCGTGATGTCACCTTTGACGAGTCCGTCTCCTTCTACCACCGCTTTCCCCACCATGGTCCCTCGGTCACTCCCCCCCAGTTCCTGGTTCCCCCCCCTACCCCGATCACCTCTGCTCCCCCCCTCCCCACCCTGCCTCGTCTGGTGTGTCTCACGTCACCCCCC